CAAGAAGGTCAGCCGCATTTTGAAAAACATTGATAGTTCTTTTTTTAAACTTCTCTTCCAAATAAATAAGTGCAAGCGTGTACGAGCTTCATCTGTTCAGGATTCTGTTAGCTTGTTAAGACTTTCGTTTGATTTCCTTGTGGTCTTTGGGACTACAATGAATAACAGACAGCTTTCAGTGTTCGTAATATGTCACCGTGGAAACGACTCTCAACTGGCTGTGGGAATTCTGAAGAAAAAACTTCCATCTTTCCGGATTCGTGATATCCGTGGCGGCTATGAAGCCTGGGCAAACGAAGTAGACAGGGATTTTCCTCGATACTAATATTTTCCATTTAGGGTTCTATTATAGAAAAATTTATTGTCAGATACTGCTTTAAGCTGCTCTTAAAATGACCCGGTAAAGCTACGATGAATCGAGTTTGTTTATTGTTGTTGTTTACTGTTGCAATTTTGTTGACTCGTATCGGTTGTCAGTTATGTATTGGCTCACATAAAGGCTCTAAACAAAACAGTATGGTCTTCAAAAGCTCTAAACACATTGACCTTGTTTCTGAAAGTAGATTTCAAAATTAAGTTCCGGAGATCTGAGAGGATGTCCATCATTGAGGCGACGTTCTCTCGAACGGACGCTTCTCGATTAATCCCTTTCTCATAGTCTTGCATAAGTTTTGATGGAATGGGAAGGAAGTATTGTCTCACCGATTGCTGGCAGAATACCAGAGCTACAGAAACATAGAGATAGGGATCTCTAAAGGACGTCGCAAAGAGTGACCTTGTTTTGACATGATGGTCACTATAGCGCCTCCTGACCCATGCCCGAGAGTGTACAAACTTTTGGCAATCTTTTACAAGGACTTTTTACTTGGAAACGATATTTGAGAAGTGAAGGGGTTATATGATATATGCTCAGTAACTAGATGAATTATTAAGTAAATGTACAAAGAGTTGGCCGAAGTGGAATTTCAATTCTACTCAATACATGGCAACTGTCTCACCGCTTACTCACAATCTGGCCGTGTTGTGGTGCTCCGCGATGACAATGAGTGTAGACTGGCAGAGTAGAGAATAATGCTGAATCCAGAAAATGGGCATTCCTTGAAACAAGAACAGTGATTATATTGAAGAAGTACAAGTAATGAGAAACAGTTTCCATACTCGTGACGACTACTGCGTATAATATTTATTCCAATGAATGGTAAGATTTCGTAACATCAAATGAGCCTAGGATCTCCATTGACTATTAGTCACTCTGACTCTGGACATCGTCCTCCTCGTCCTTGATCCCTTGAATTTTTTGGATTTGACAAGACTCTGGCAGAAGGAATACAGCACCGAATCGCCCTGAACTGAATCGCGGTTGTCCGTCTTCATCCTGAAAGTGGTAGAGGTCACAAGGTTCGCTATCCGTGAAACATGACGTCCTGTCAAACTCTTCTACCTTTTCGAAGGGATTAGAGCTCATTAGAAACTAGAACATGCTAGCAGGGTCACTTAGCCAGAATTAGTTGAATGCGTGAGCCGGATCGACGTCTAGCTGCCTCAGGACCCTCTAATCTGAATAAATAAAGGGTTCTGGCTTGACAAGCAGAAGTCGCTGCGCGCCCCGTGACCCAATTTCAACGGGTTGGCAGAGATAGCGTGTCCTGACCCATGCCTGCTACATCAAATCTATATTCTCTTTTCAACAACTGTTGAATCCGCCTCCTTGTAGTGTTCTACCTGGATATGGGGTTACCTTGAGTTGATCGAGGGTAATTTTGGCATTGATTTCATCGGATTTGAATCGGCTCTGCCTTCTGCGTTCCCGCATTTCCTTCATTTCAGGTGTTACCACAGCGGGCGCAGCAGGAGCGCCTGTCTTTTCATCTGAAAGAATCGTAGAGCATCTCATCCCTTACAATTATTCTGACTAATTCTTTCAACTTGTTTAATCTTTCTATTTTTCGAACAATTAAAGTAAAATCAATTAAAGATAGGCTTCGTATAATAACAAAAAATCCGGAGATTTATGAGATACCTGTTGGTATACCGTAATTTCTTGAATAATTCAAGGACCATACCTCCGGGCTTTGGAGCTGTTTGTCCTTCTCCCTTTTCTTGTTCTTTTCCTGATTCAACATCCTTTTCTTGTCCTGGTTTTGAACCTTCGGTAGCGTCACTTTCACCTTCACCATCATCTATTAAAACAAACTTCAATCATGGAAACACTATCGA